CCTTATGGACATCATTATATGGCACTACGGTGCAATTCTACGCAGTCCTTCGGGATATATATATATTCTGTGGAACATGTGTGAAGTCTTGAAAGACACATACTTGATCCCTAGTATATGTATATGATTCTTAAGGAATAATATGTGGTCCTTATGGACATTTTTATATGGCACTACGGTGCAATTCTACGCGGCACTTCGGTGCAATTATACGAGCTGTGGTGACAGCATTAGTGCACAACCTCTATAGACTCACATATCGATAGTTCTCACATATGTACATGGGCTAATCCAGAGATATGAACAAATATATGTTAGTGGTATGATAAATGTTATAGAAATGATATGATGTTGTGTGTGTATAGTGTTTGATTGAAAAGGTTAACCATAAAAGTATGTGATTACATGATAAACTGTTAATGATGAATTATGTGTATGTATGGATTTACTGCAATTGATCTGATATGATTTTATATGATACGAAGAATGTATGGAATTGATATAACATGATAGAACAGAACATGCATGTATTGATATATGTTATAAAGTGCATTATAAGTTGTTATGCCTCACTAAGTCTTCGACTTAGCGTGTGATTGTTTCACACGTAGGTTTCGAGAAGAGTAAAGAGTAATGCGGAGCAAGACAGGTCAGTTTTCCTTACCAAATGTCAGATCAGAAAATATAGGTACTGTATATAGAGTGTAGTTGGCATGTAGTCTAAAGACATAAATTGTATGAACTCTGATATATATTTTGTAAACGTTTTGAATAAGTTAAATGTTATCAAAGTTTTTAAATTACTCACTATTTTATACGAATAAATGTTTGAAAAGTCAATGTGACACTTCGGACTCGTATCCGGATCGGATACGGGTTGGGGGTGTTACATAACTCACCATTATTTATTGATGATTAATATCCATAGTTACCGAGATGAGGCATATTCACAAATTCTGGCCCGTACATTGCACCATAATCAGCTTCATGCATGTGTGCTGGAGGGTCAATTTGTGCCACATTTAATGGAACTTCATCTTCATTATCATCATCATCGAAGTTGAATTGCGGTGATTCTAAGTGAATTAATAGTCCAGTCTCAGCACCATCCGCACCAGGCTCACGAAGCGGTTCTTCTGGTGGAGATGATGGTTCCTTCATGCTCTCCACATTTAGGTCGAATAACCTACTACTTGCACGTCTTCCCCTTGAACTAGAAGGCATATCGACATTGAGATCGAAAAAGCTCGCAGTCGAATGGCTCCCCCTGGAGCTTGAAGTCATCGTGTCAAATGGAAACTACACAGATTGTTGCGTCGATGACATTTTCATATTAAGGTCAAAGAAATTTGCAGATGAATGCCTTCCCCTTGAACTGGACGCGATGTTGCCATATGGATTGTTCGTGGACCCACCTCGGTACATATCGTAAGGAATTACGGATGAATGTCTCCCCATTAAAGTTGATGTGACAACATCATGATGCGGATTTCCCATTATGGCGTTAAAATCATTACACATTATTGTAGTCGAGCTGTCAACTTGATCAACTTGTTCATCCAGTCCATAGTGGGAGCTTAATGACTGACCTCGAACAACACACACTTGAACAAACTTTGCATACATCTCAATATCGACGTCTGAATAATTACTTTGAGAATCAACCATCATTTCAACATCATCATTGTTCGATAGTTCGAACGTTGTATAAGTTAATGGCAACAATGATGTTGGAAATTTATACTGCAACGACGACATTCTTCTACTACTTCCAACATGAACCTTCTTCGAAATCTTCATTATCAGCTCCTCAAGAGTTATATTTCTCTTGAATAATATTTTAACACGCTCATTTGATAAGAAAACAACGCCAGTTTCATCTTCTCGAATTTCTCCATCATAATAAACAATAGCTGAAAGTCGTCATTCTTAGAGTTTAAAAGTGCGACAATATTATATCTGCAAAAAAAAAACAATTGAAACAAACATAATTAAATAAATAATATATGAACGAAAATATAACACAATAATTTTTTTACACATAAACGTAAATAATTTAAATAATATAATTTTATATTATTACATGCACCGCAAAAATATTTCGACGTATGCTCCCGCTTTCCCCTTGAACTGGCACAGAAATTAATTGAAAACAATTACTATAATATTTTTTTTCAAATAATCATAATAAAAAAATATTATAACAAAGTTACCTTATAATGAAAGATCGATCGAACTTCTGAATTAAATATAAGAGGATTGTCGAGTGTTATTTACTGGTTGAAATGATTGTTGTATTAATTTATCGGTTGAGAGGGAATTGTAAGAGAGTTTACAAAGAGAGTTATTTATAACCGAGAGATGATGCTTTAAAGCCGAGAGGTCGGGATAAATGGACCGCGCCTTGCATTATGCATGTCTAATAATTGAGAATGTGATAATTGAGAAGCGTGGGTCAGGCCCTACGTGTCGTAAGACGCGTCCCAGGGGTTGCGCTTTAGACACGTGTGTCCCTGTCAACGTAAAACGCACTGTAGGGGCGCGCCTTACCTCACGTAGCGCCATATCAACTTTCTTAAAAAAAACAATGTAAATTTAATTTCAACTTTCTCTTTTAAGTGTATAAATTTAAAAGTAATATGTTAATATTAGAGAACAACATCTATTTTGAATAATATTAATTCAAATAATATTACCTCTAAAACAATAAATCATCATGATACCATAATCATATTATTTTAATCTTTCATTATTTTATTTTGTAGTAATTATTAATATTTTAATTTTATAATAATAAATTTACGTACATATATAACTTTTAAAGTTAGAAAAAGAAAATCCATTCAGTCATAAAGGAAATTTTCTCGATAAAAAGTATAACACCTTAGCAGTAATAAAAGAGTTTATGTGTATATATATAGAGAGGATCATATTACATTTAATAAAATAAATAATTTTATATTTTTTAAAATCGTCAGATAAAAAAATTAAAGGATGAAATTAAAAATAAAAAATGGTGAGAAGATATTCACAAAAAATAAAATAATAAATTAATCTCAACCTTTGATTTTTCCTTATCTAACGTTCCTAAAAAATAAAATAATTAATTTTACATTGGATGTAAGTGAATCTTAACCCTATACATAAATTATCAAATTTTATAAAAAACATCAATTAAATTCTTCTATCCCATCAATATTTATATGTAGACTAATACATTTAACTATTACGTAAATACTATAATAATCAATGATAGTCTATAATGATCATACCAATTAGTTTTATGAGTTTAATTAATTATTTCACTTCAAATCCGAATATAAAGATTCAGGTAATGATATATGTTTTTGATTCATACGATCAAGGTATTGAATTTCATCTGTTGACATTTCACCATAGTTTCAGATTAGCCGATCGCTTAGATAACTTATTAGGGTTGATTGGATTTGATTATGATCATATTAAGCCCAATTAGGAAAAAAATAAGTTATCTAGAAAGGAAAAAAAAATCGAGTGTCGATAGAATTTATTTGACTATTTCAGTAGTAAAAGAGAATATTATTCTTTTTAAAGGTTTTGAGTCTAAACAATTATGTATGTAGTTAGGGATGGACATGGGTCGGGTTTCGGCCAACTCGACTCGACCAAAAAAATTTACATCTTCTACCTGACCCGACTTGAGAAATATATACCCTCTACCTGATCATTTTTTTAGATAAAATCTGAACCCTATTCGACCCGACCTAAAATAATAATAAAAATATTATTTTTATTTAATAAAAATAATGATTTTATTGAAAAAATATGTAGAGAGGATTATTTTTGTAATTATTCCTAAATATATGAGGTAAAATTATTTTTTTTCCTGGGTCGAGTCCGATCGAGTATTTTTCACCCTAAACCCAAATCCGACCAGACCTGAACATCATATTTAAAAAATCCGACCTGACCCAAACCTGATTTAAAAAAAACACGACCCGGTCGGTTTAGTGGCCCTCAAATTTTTTTATAAAAAAACTAACGTAACCCTATAACTTTTTATACTAAATGTAACCCTTAAACTGAAAAAAAACAATATAACCCTCTAACCAACAAAATCGAACATTTACCGTCACAATGCTTACATTACAATTCAAAAAAGCATACATGACAGTCTAGAATGTTGATGTGATAGTTCAATATGTTATTGTGACAGTACACGATAGATGATGATGTGATAGATGATTTTATTTTGTTTATTTTACTAAGTTTGAAGGACTAATTAATTTTTTTTAGAAAGTTTGAGAACCTATTTAATTTTTTTAAAAAAAGTTAAGAAATTATTTGAATTTTAAATATAAAATATAAACAATCATAAATATATTTAATATATTAAATATAAAGATATTAAAAATTAAATTATTAAAAATTAAATTATTAAAAATTAAATTATTAAAAATTAATTTAAAGACCACATTGAGTCTAAAAAAATTAGGGATCATATTATCTTTTTGTAAAAGTTTAAAGGTTTCAGATAAAATTAAGTTAAAAAATTGTTGTTAAAAATATTTAAATTCATGTAAATTAAGTTAAAATCTAAAGCTCGTGTTTCATATTTTTCAAATTTTCAAAATAATTTTAACGAAAATACTGAAAACTTCTTTTTGTTATTTTTCATATTTTCACTCATTTTATTTTAATTTTTATAAATTATTTTTTAATTTTACAATTAAACATATTTTTTAACATTTTTTATTTTTTAAGAAAATGAAAATAACTTATATTCTAAAACCAAACTGACGCTAATATTGCCAATTACTAAAGCCTCTACTTTTTCAATATAAGCTAAGAAATTGGACGTGGGGCCAATTTGAACAGAAGTAGGATCCAGATGATTCAAGAGAATTCTGTAACGTTCGTGAAATATTTTGATAGATTTGAGGCCCAAAATACAATAAAGGAAAGTTGGGGAAAATACTAGATTCCTCTTCAGCTTTTCTATAAATGCCCAACATGTCATGGTTCCCCAACATCGGGAAAAAAGATTTGGATTCTCTGCAGAGCTCTCAAAATCTTCGAGGTTTTTCATTAGCTGAGTTTTTGGTTGATCCTTGTTTCGATCGTGCAACAGAAATGGCGATGATACCAAGTTTCTTTGGCAACCGAGGGAGCAGCGTCTTCGATCCTTTCTCTCTTGATGTTTGGGATCCGTTCAAGGACTTCTCTTTCCCTTCTTCCCTCGCGACAAGTTCCTCTGAAACCTCTGCTTTTGTGAACACTCGCATCGACTGGAAGGAGACCCCTGAAGCTCACGTCTTCAAGGCTGATCTTCCCGGGCTTAAGAAAGAGGAAGTGAAAGTTGAGGTTGAAGATGATAAGGTGCTTCAAATCAGTGGTGAGAGGAAGATAGAGAAGGAAGACAAGAATGACACTTGGCACCGTGTGGAGAGGAGCAGTGGGAGCTTCTCGAGGAGGTTTAGGTTGCCGGAGAATGTGAAGATGGATCAAGTCAAGGCTTCCATGGAGAATGGGGTTCTCACAGTCACTGTTCCAAAGGTGGAAGTGAAGAAACCTGATGTTAAAGCCATTGACATTTCTGGTTAAAACTCGCAAAGGCATACTCTCTCTCTCTCCCCCCCTTGTCTGTAAGGTTGACATGTCTATGTTTGGGTAAATAAAGTGGAATTTAGATCCCCTTTTCGTGAATGGGTTGGTGTTATCATCGAAATTTGGTTTGTAATATTATCGAGTTTTTATCAGTAAATTTAAACATCTGTTTTCATTAATCCTATGATTTTTGATTAATTTTTGTTGTCCAAGTAATGGAAGAACCACAAGACTGAGTATGGGAGCATTAAGCTGGTATAATTAGGTTCCACTTTCTATGTTGTGGTATTATTTGACTAATATCGTGGTTCATACGCTAAGTTCGGCAATAAGTTGATATTCTTTTTAAATGATACTAGTCTTGAGAAAAGTCTAAATGAGTACTGTTATTATGCTTTGATTGATGTTTATAGTGGTATAGTTTGAGTAGGCACTCGGGTGTTGGTTAGCTTTCTGTATATATTGATTGATCGGTTGAACTCCGATTCATATATATTTGGTTTTCCATTCGGATGTAGTTTAAAAACCAGGGCATTAGGAATTGTGGATGAGGTTTCATTTCTGTTATAAAACATCTTTCCCTGCGTTTAAAACCTAATGGAAGGAAGTTGGTACGAACTAACTTATGATTCTTTTGCGCGTATATAATGCTTCGCAGGATGGATTGCGTCGGGTGGCCCCGGTGAGTACCCTTTAGTAACTGCATCAAGAGCCGGGAATGATGGGGTTGGTGTTTCGGTGACTCCGAGAGCTGTTACATATGTGATAACCGGAGGTTAACCTTTTCTTCCTGTAATATGTGTTTAAATCGTGCTTTTAAGACTCAACTGTTAGAACTCAATCTCAAGATCTATATGTCGGCAAGGAAACAAGAACTGTTTGGATTCTACTTGGAATTCCGATGAATTACTTGAAAACGTGGCAAGATTGTTGGTATATCACAGAACTAGGACAAATAGAGTATTTAAATGAAGGCCAAAGTTGGTTTGCAGGATTGCTAGTGCATTATTGAGGAAGGTTCCGTCGAATTTAAAAATGCAGTAGTAGAGACGGTCTTATTTAATGGAGAGGAAAGGATATTAAAAGAAACTTATAGGAAATATAATAACGTATTATTTTTTATTTTTGAAGAAATATATGAATTTATTTATAGAAAAAAAATAGATGTGAGTTGAACAAAATCATGTCCTAAAGGTATAAAAGCGCAGACAACATGAGTGCGATATAAAAGAGTAAAAATTATCAAACATTTGCGTCTGAAATTCGTTTAAAAATAAATTCATTTGTTCCTTGAAGAATAAAGCCCTCTTGTGTTTTTTTGAGTTTTCGTTTAGTGTCATTCTCTCTTTGTTAGTTTAAGATTTAGAGTTTAGGGTTTAGTGCATTTTCAAGTTTGACGAAAATTTCCCCAACAATATCTCAACGATTTTACGAAAATTTTCTGAATCTGAAGTCTTCATTTGAATACTTCAATTACTATAGTTTGGTTTTGTCAAGCTCGAAGTTTGCATGTTGATTATTGCGTATGTGAATTCAAACTAAAGTTTAGATGTCACTTGTTGGAAGCAGAAGTGGATATTCAATAAATTTTATAACCCACAATATTATTACGAAATCATTGGAAGCAGACGTACTCTACCTGTAAGAACTGAATAAAGAGCCGGGAATGATGGGTTTGGTGTCACAGTGACTCCTAGAATTGTTTCATATGTGACAATTGGAGGTTTAGCCTTTTCTTTCAGCAATATGTTTATGTCGTGCTTTTAGGATTTAGCTAGGGTTTTAAATCACGGACCGCAAACGTTATAGCATCGTTGTTTGAAATTAATGTTGATGATTTTAATGATCGGTGGTAGATTCATGTAGATAGCGATTCGTCGTGTCGTAATTTAACGGGCAATGCATATAACGCTGATAACATAGAGTTATTAGTGCTATTCCACCGCTACTGAAAAAAAGACTTAAAAAAGATGATTTTTTTTTTTGCATTCATCATCACCAAATAGCATGTAACCACCACTTATGAACATGCACGACCATTTAACGAAATTCTCTGGAAAAATGAAAGGGCTCGATAGAGTTTTTAGAATGAGCATCGGTTACCAAAACCTAAGAAGGCTGATATTATCATCTCATCCTCGAACCTATTTTTTCTTATAAAGAAGGAAAAGCTCAAGAAACAGACACTTGGAGAGAATCAAGAGCTTCTAGATTTTTCAATATGTTTGGGTTATCAATTCAATATAAATATATATATATATATAGAGAGAGAGAGAGAGACCGTTCCACTTACACCCCCATTTTTCAGTTTTTCTTTAAATAAGTTTTAAAATATATTTTTAGGGGATAAATTAATTTGTCATCCCTCTTACTTTTTAGAATTATAATTTAATCCTTAACTTACAATGTAAACTTTCATTTTTATTTAATTTACTCTTAATTTTAGTAATTTAAATAATAATGTATTTACAATGTCATCATTAATTAATTATTTTATCTTATTGCTAGGTTTTTAAAGTTTGATTAAACTATATTATATATATATATATATATATGTTATTTTCACATTTTAAAAACAATTAAAAATGATTCCTTATAATTGTAATTATAATTATTATGTTTTAAGAAAAGTTAAGTAAAATTTTTAAAAAAAGTTTACGACCTTGACACTCATAGTGACTGTGATGACATTTCTTATATCCGCAATCACGATAAATGCGACGTGTCCAAAATCACTACTGTGAACGCTATTTAAATCCTTGGACTTAACTACTCTCGGGCTCTCAGCATATTGTTTAACACAACTTATTCTCCATTTTGCATTCTTTTTACTCCTCAGGTCCAATACCCGATGCAGTTGTCCAGGTTGAGGACATTGAACAGGCTAAGGCTAATTGGAAGTTGAAACAAGGAGTGCAAAGGCGTTGATATTCGTCCAGTGGTATCATAACATAAACTCCATCTATCCGCCCGCTTTCCTCTCCCCTCCGCTGCCTCATCGTTCCTTTTTCTGCTCCTAATCATCCCGACGCTATAATAAATTTTTACTGTCATGTTTCTTCCTCAAATTCCTTGTTAGTTGTTACAACAACTGAATCAAAGATTCACAAGACTGAAACAATATGTTGTGTTCGCTGTCAGTATTTTGTTATTTACAGCCCTCTGGAAGTAATTAATAGGTAAGTTTATTGCCAAACAGCCAAAAGTTGTCAGTTGGAGAAGTGTACCTTATTTAAGCACTCTTAATGTGTGAATACAGGTAAGGTGGTTCATACATTCTAGATAAGTCCTATTTGGGTTTGTGGTTTTGGCCCTGTGCAGTTAGAAATGATTTTATGGTTGTATTTTGACATGCAGACAGCCCTTGTAAAACTTAATGGCCTATAGCTTGCTGGGGAATAGGAATGAAGCTAAGCTTTCCTGGCTTCTCACCTGACTTTGTATGTCCATGGCAAGATAGAAAAATAGAGAACAAGCAGAATACAATGAACTTGACTGTGTTGTCTATCTGTGTGTAGTTTCTAACATTTTTCTTTGCAACTTGTGTAGCTTATTTGAAATAACTTCAAATTTCCATGCTTTCTGTTATTCGAAAGTTCAAGCAAGCATCTGTTTTGCAGGGATGAGACATTCAGAAAGATGCAGCAGTTTTAAAATCTGGAGGAAAAATAGGTGCTTCAGAAGTGGGACTCTACTTGCTCCGGTGGTAGTTACGGTGGTGAAGTTACTTGGACCACTAATTGTGTTAAGAGGCGATTTGTTTCTTGGTTTTTAGATTGTTATTCAGCGCACCGGCCACGAAATGAGTAGACGGCTTCCTAGTATGGAGTCAGCTAATGCTTTGCTTGAGTTGCCAGCAACAGGGGTGTTATACCTGCTGGAAGTTCCGTCTCAACCATTGTTAATTTCTGATTTAAGTGCTACTGCATTGTCATCGAAGTCAAGTACTACACTACATATAAGCGTGTCCTAGGTCCATGACTGCTTGCATTTGGGATTTGTGAAATATTATTCCATATTTTATATTGTATACCATGAGGGTCATGTCACTTGTATTTACTCATTCATTGATTCTTCAACGTCTAATCCTTCTCACCCTGCAATCCCTGAATACCGAAGAGTGAGTCCACAAAAATTATTATAATTTTTTTAAAAAGCATCCCGATACATCATCTTGTTCTAGTTTTTCAGAATGGTCATTTATGTATTCTAAACTGATAAAGCAGAGTTGGTGTTCCATTTCATTCTAGTTGGATACGAAACGGGCGAAAGCTTTTGCTGCACTATAGAGCCAATTTTTTGTCTGGTTTTGATCATGTACATACCTGGCAATGTTTATCTTGTGACTTATCTTTGCAGACAATGGCCTTAGAAAAGGAATGGATTCATCCGGCTGCCAGTTTAAACGCATCTAGATGCACCTCTGGATAATTGTTCCTTGAAGATCACATATTTGATGCTAAAAACAAATGAGCAAAGTTGATACTGTCCTATGACAAAGTGAGACATGGGAATGATTCGGAAACAGCAATAGTACAGTTCTTGGGTGCATTGCACAAATTTGACCTTATGCTAACAACGGATATCTTTGCTATTTTCGCCCTTCTCGCAAATGTTTTATCTGTTTATCTCAGACCCCAAACCTCACTGAGGATGCATCGATGGAGACGGCGGTTCCTTCGAGGTTTATGATAGTTCGACTCGCGTTCATTGTTGTAGAGAATATGGAAGCCAACTGAGGGAAGTAATGACCGCCGTAGTTCTCCCGGGCGATGAAAATGTCCCTGTTTTCATACCGAGTGACCCTCACTAACCAGTTGACAAGAAAAGTGTATGTGTCGATCGCCGTGGTCGTATAGCCAGCATTGTTGTAGTTGGAGTGAATAAGAAAAGCCGACAGCAGCCGGCGATTCGAGGATCATGTTTGTCAGTGCACCGAATATCCCATATAGTTGTTTCGCAATCATTTTTCAGGTGGGCTCGAAATTGAACTTCGACTTCTAGTGGTCTATTATTTGGATTTTGAATTCTTTGCATATTATCTAATTAGAATTTTTGTTTCATCTGTCTAATTTCTGTAATACCTAAATTTAAATCTATAAATTTATTTTAAAACTCATGTGTATTATTTGTTGCGTAAATCGAAATTATTCACCTCATTTAGACCAAAATAAAAATAGAAGACATAAATCCTTAGTAAACAATGTTTCAACCAGCATATAATAAAAACGTGGATTATTATATAGAAGAGTATAAAAATGGCGTATACTGAATAAACCAATTTTGTAAAGGACAAAATTGCAAAATTTTAATTATTTAAAAGTTGAAGATAACTAAATTGAAATTTGGCCAACCCTAGCAGTCGGGAACTTAACCTTCTTGCTCTTCAAAATTCCCAACGATAAGCAATAACAATGAATCTTTTCAAATGGTTTTAGGTTCCATGGCAACGAGAACAAAAAGAAAACACCAAATTATTAAAGATAAATAAGACGCAACCCAGACACCAATGGACAAAAAATAACACAAGAGCAAACAAGTAGGATATATGGTACAGTCCATGAAATAATGCAAACAAAGAAACAGACAGCAAAGCAACAAAAGCTAAGTGACAGGAAACATAGATGTCCTATAGTTATAAAGAGAAATCTTAGCAGACTTATCTGCCCTGATCCCTTTTTTTACCCATTATTGGATCTTGGTTATGATTGGAGAGGTCTTACTTGGCCATCATAACTTTGACGAACTCTTCATAGTTGATCTGTCCATCACCGTCAACGTCAGCTTCACGAATCATCTCATCAACTTCCTCGTCTGTAAGCTTCTCACCGAGATTTGTCATTACATGGCGAAGCTCAGCAGCAGATATGAAACCATTCTGGTCCTTGTCAAACACCCTGAAAGCTTCTTTAAGCTCCTCCTCAGAATCAGTATCCTTCATCTTCCTTGCCATCAGGTTAAGGAATTCGGGAAAATCAATGGTCCCATTTCCATCAGCATCAACTTCATTAATCATATCTTGAAGTTCCGCCTCGGTAGGATTCTGTCCAAGTGATCTCATCACAGTCCCCAACTCCTTGGTAGTAATGCAACCTGAATCAAGGATGCAAATAAATGCAACGAATAAGCAACATTGGTTGAGAAACAAGCAACACTAGTAAATACAGCTGGCCGTAAAAAAAAGAAGGCAAACATTAAAACGAATCGAAGAAGACAAAAAAAGGCACCATAACATTTTATGTTAAAATATAGCTGATGATTTTCAAACCTTTCAAACACCATAAATGCCTGCCAAAATACTTCGCGAAATCAAATAAGAACAATTGATTGTGATAGTTCACTGGGATGTAGGCAGCAGTGCATTAGTCGAACTTATTGAGCAACAAAAATCTAGTGTCTGATAATTTTCAAATGTACAAGCTTCAGCAATCAAATGTTTGATAACCCATGGATCGTATAATAATATCAAACAATGTAATTGCACAAAAAAGTAAGAAATGAGAGTCCATTTATGTATTCTGGTGATCAACTATCAGGTATTCTTCAAGCAAAAGCACCAAACATAATATTATGACGAGCTTGAGCAATACAGATCACAAAATTAACCAACCAAACAAGCCACTAGTGTCGAACTTCTGGGACTTGGCAACGCCGTACACATTTAGATTCTAGATTTTTAACTGTCATGCAAACTTACAACAAACATAAAAGCTTATTTCCTTGATGAAATATTCATGTCAATGATTTTATGACCGATAGGCATCTCTGTAGATCACTAATGATTCCATGTTTCAATATAGGTAGAAAATGCAGGTTCAATGAAAGTGAAATGAAAACTAAGGAAGCTTCGATACTCATAATAAAATATCACACAGAAAATACAAAACTAAATCAAGATTAAATAAAAAGATCAAATCAAATCAGCAGAATGGCAATCTTAATCTTATACATAAATTACACACAAATCACAGTATAAAATGACGACATAGGCAGCTCATGTTTGAACATATAAACATCCAAGTCTAACAGATCAAATAATCGAAGTCAATGAGTCGACCGATATAAGAAAAAAGAACGGAAGTGACATTTAAATCGATAGAAAATCGTAAATTCATGAATCGGAACCTAGATCCGTCACATCAATCAAATCACAAAAAAGAACGATGGCAAAATTAAATAAAGAAAAAAAAACTAAAGCTAAAGCTAAGTATCAGAAACTAAAGCAATTCTTAGTTCTGCGAGCCAGAGCTGAATAAACCGTATTTAAGAAAAAACGAAAAACATCAATATAATAAAGAGAGAGATTCGAGAAAGGACCATCTCCATCCTTGTCAAAGAGGCTAAAGGCCTCCTTGAACTCAGAGATCTGGTCGTCCGTAAGCTGATCTGTCATGGTCTCTCCTCTTTAATCGTTGTTTGTTTCGAAGGCGTTGGCGAGCTTGGGAGCTACGAGGTTGAATAAAATCTTTAGATGAAGAAAATTTAAAAAGGGGGATGGAAGGGCAAGTATAAAGGGACCAACACAAATTTAAGGCATCTGATTCTCTCTAGTCCGCACGCATTTCCTCGCTTTACTTCTATTTTCCATTTTTTGAATTCTATTAATACTATATATTTATTAAACAAGATATTTCCTTTCAGAACAAAGGCATCCTATATTTGGAGATGTTTGATAGTTAACATAATTTTTTATTTAATATAATTTTTAAAGAACTGAACAAAAATTTATTATTTGATCCTAAAGATATTATTTTGTTTTTATATAAAATATATTTGAAATATATTATATATTTATTTTTATAAATTAAAATGTTTAAAACTTTATTCAACTTCCTAAAATAGTAAAATGTAGGGTAAATTATACAAATTATCCCTCAACTATAAGGCAATGCTTTGTTCAACCTCCCTGCTATTAAAAGTTATAAAATGCTTATCCGACTGATCATTATGTTCCAAACTCGTCATTTTTCATTAAAATGTCAACGACAATCCGAGCTGAATGTTAACCTATTGATTATGATATGATAAAATTCGATCTTAAAATCTTAAGTGATTGTTAAATCTAAGTCATCATGTTAACATCTAACTCATAAGATAGTTATTTTTTAACAGAAAATAATGAGCTTGGAACATAATGAATAGTCGAGTGATCATTTTATAACTTTTAATAGTCGATGGACTCAATAAAATAGTACTCTATAGTTAGAGGACCATTTTATAACTTTTAATAATCGATAGACTTAATAAAATAATATCCTATAACCGGAAGACCATTTGTGTACTTTATCCTAAAATGTAACATGATTAATCATTATAAAATATATATTTTTCAAAATTTAAAACTTTATTATTTTTATAAATTTGATCCCATTAAAAATCTTGGATAAATACATATTTACTCGTCCAACTATTCACACAATTTATTTTAAATAATCTATTTTTTTTAATTATACCTAAAATGTAACATGGTATGTGAGACCCTCGTACTTTTAAAAAAAAATCAATGTGTATAACACCTTAAACCCGAATGGGCCTAAAGTGCCACATTGGGATGCCAAGACAACCATTTATTTTCAGGACTTGTTTATTTTCTTTTTGAATAAACTTAATGGTATCAATAATAAACATAAATAACAATTACAAAACAATTTATAAACTGAAGCTATCACACATAATTTAAATCAAAAATATAAACTCAGTCTCATAAATCTGAATACATAAGTAAAGTCCTAAGAATACATATGCCCACTAAGCTACGATATAGTACTCTAAAGGAGATATTGGAAGTCTTGTTGCGACGATGCTCCACGAACTGCTCAGCTACTAACCTACCAACAGAAAACATCCGAAGGCTGAGATTACAGAGCCCAACAGTATAATCGTTAATCTAAAGCAGCATTATGTGTTATATAAACATAAACATGCTAAAGACATGATACTAAGCAGTAGGTACATGCATGATCTAAATCAAGTACTACCTACTTATGCTTAATTGTTCTATCACAGGGGTGGGAGTTCACGCTCCCCTTATTCCTCTTCTAAGGGTCTCGCCATGAGTACACCACTAGAGGGTCTCTAACCCTAAAGATTATAATTTCTACACATTATCTAAATGTGGTACTGACACTCCTATGCATTATCTGAATGCCAAACTGACTAATATTCGATTTCACATAGCCATCAAATACTAGTTAACAGAGGGAACTCAGTGTCACATAGCATTGGTGCAATTCCCACTAGCTACTGTATGATCTCATTGTCCTTACATAGCCATCAGGTAGATCATTGAGGGTGGAACCTCGTCATCACATAGCAATCGATAACTCTCGCTCTACTGAAGCATTGGCTTGGTCTTACACAGCCGTCAAGTCAAGCTTTAAGGATATTTGTCGTACTTGACTGATGCAATTGTAAATGCATAGCTAAGGCCAAAAGACCACCCAACATTGACATTACTAATCCACTCATCGCGAGTGTTCGAGCCTCGCGCCCTGGTTAACCCCTGAAGTACCTCACGCACTGACAATACCCTATTAGGGCAACTAAAGTAAACTGGCTATACCCTAGCATAGCTAGACTCACTAAGGTGGGATCATCATTTCACTAGCTGCTACCTCGCTCGTTCTCTCATCTAGAACGTTATGCAAGAGTTTATTATTTTGTTACTACTGTTAATTCATTAAGTTGCTCTATTCTATTCGTTCGCTATTTTGGGCATTTTAGTCATTTTGTCTCTAAAAATCACTCTAAAGGACATAATTTGGTTCTTAAACATGTCTTAAAGTTGTATGAAGTTATTTATGGTCTTAAGGTTGCGTAAAAACATATTCTTTGCCTTTGATCATAAAATCATGTATAAACTAAAATGCCCATTTTCACAAATCCTAGCAATTTCTCATATTTATGAAAGCCTTAACACTCCAGAGGATTAGAAATACAATACTTTGATGTTTGAATCCTGAAATTGAGCTCCTTGCTTAGCCACACTCTTCTCCTTGGTGATTTGGATAGAAACCCCCACTTTTCTTTAGCTAGGAATAAACTAAGGCTTTGATTCTTTAAAACTATATTGCAAGGGGATTAAGAACGAAAATGAAATAAGAAAAAGGTTCAAAACCTTACCTAGCAACTATGGCTACTTAGAGAAGATGAAAGAAAAGAAGAAACGAAGAAGAAGAAGAAAATGAAGAGAAGAGAAATAAGATGAGATATAAAAACCTCATCTTTGAAAAATAGGAAAATTGCACAATTGGTCATTCCTTGTTTTTCTACAATTTAAAATCTCCCTTTTAAGGCTAATTGGGGCCCAAATTCAAACCTAATTAACCACAACAACTTTACTTATGAACTTCAAGAGGTTCACTTACCTCTTGGATAAACCCGAAACTACTAGCCCGTAATTTGGAGTGTTATAATGTGAACCTCGTACTCAATTAAAAGAACCAATTTAGCGCATCTGTCACATAATCAATCACATCACCAATCATCGTAGATTACCAAGTCAATACCATGAAGTGCCATGTCAGCACTGTAACGGTAAAAGATGCAAACCGTTGGTCAAATGACCATAATGGGTCCGTTTTCTAAATTTGAAGGTCACATTGGGTGTAAAAAAAGTAAATGGCCGTATTAATTTTTTTTAAAGCATGAGGGCCTCACATACCCTTTTGTCTACCTAAACTTGCATTTTAATTTTATTTTAATCATCAACTGTTAAAAAGTTAATGATGATGCTAACGTCTTGTCATAAAATAATGTCATGTCATTATTAAGAAAATATAAATGATCATATCAACAACTATGTTTATTTTCTGACAATGAGTGATCAAAACAAAATAAAAACATAATTTTAGGTATGAAATTAAAAAACAATTTAGAGACTGAAACACAATCTTGAGAATAGTGGGTGATTAAATACGTTGTTTGCCCAAAAATCTTTTAGTCAATGTACACGTCCAGGTTCGGCCGCTTTAAACTTCATGTGATATAAGTGTGCATCTTTCCTTTGACTTCATTCTATTGGGGTCATTCAGTAGAGTATTTTAAGTTTCAAACCAGTATGTCGAATTCGGAAACAGTAGCTGTTCCATATAACAACCAGTAATGGGTTTGGCTAACATTACCGTTGAGCTTACAGTTGCATGGCCAATATAATGCATATTGTCTATTTATTTTTGGTTGAGTTGAAAGTGATGTAACAAATTCCTTAAATTACTAACATCACTTGATTTGTGTGCAATATTATTTTTTAAATATTTTATTTAAACTTATCGAGACAAGTTTGGATAAATACAAATAATTTTTTTATTTTAAAATATCTTTAATTAATATTCTTATTTCATAATAAATTAATTAAAAATATTTTTTAAATAACTGGAGTTTGTTAGAAAGAGGAGGTTTTATTTTGTGACTTTTTCTTTATTTTATTTTCTTTAGGGTTTATGTATTAGTTAAAGAAAATGTGATCAACCGGAGTAGGTGAGAACGAACGAGATTTTCTTTTTTGGGCATCAATGAAAGGAGATTTAGTGCATAGAAGTAAAAGTTTTGTGAACTCATTCAATGATATAAAAGTGTATTTCTTTTTAGAGATTGAGTTCGAGTAATTATTTCTATAAATAAGGTGCGTGTACATCTACTGTCACTAAGAATATTTCGAACTAATATTATCTGACTAATCATTCTAGGAACCAATGCAAGATAACAAAATCATACATATATAGGTTGATTGGAAGAACTTAATTAGCCCGAAACAATTGCATAAGCTATTCATGCCTTGGTCACAACTCAAAGCAACGCTTCTTGACTTTGCATTCCAGCAGACCAACATTTCTCTTGAGACCAGCAAATAAAACACCTTAACTAGAGCTTTCCCAATGCACATTTCACGATTTCAGACTAAAGATAGAGGTGAACGAAGATGAACAAGCCATATCTGGTCCATTTAAAGGACAACAAAACTACAATACCAGAGCAATGATGCTAGTCTGCAGATTAACATGTCAATACAGATAAATGTATCAAAAAGGATCATAAGATGTCACTTAGCATCATATGATCTAAGCATGCTTCAATTCCATATTTTAGTTGATTTACCAAGAAACTAGTACAAGTTCATACAAATTTTATGGTCAACATGGTTGGTTGAGGTCACTTCTCAAGCTGTTAGGTTGCAGCTCGTTTACGGTAACCTTTTTCTCCTGGTTTCATCGATTGCCACCCATTGTCTTGTTGGCCTACCGCAGCAGGAGCAGCATCTGGTAGAGCCTCGTCTCCGCCTGCTATACCAAGGATGCTCCGAAATTTCCGACCAGCCTTCAACTGGCCCTCACTTTCCGACCGGAGAATCTTCCCCCTCATGTACTCCATCAGCTGTTCCTTGTTCCCATTTGAATTGGCGAAGCTTGCCATCCAGTCATCCTTCAACTGATCACCATAAAGAGCACATGCCTCTGCATACCCAGCAGCACCTCTAGGCAAGACCGCCTCGCCACGAATCGTCTGCTCCTTAAATTCATACATGGTG